TTGGACATGTTGTAAGGAAAGACAGGTCTTTAGAGAGGGACATCATGCTGGGTAGAGTAGAGGGACAGCGCAGGAGGGGAAGACCCTCTATGAGGTGGACTGATTCAGTGACTGGGGTAATCGGGATGGGTGTGTCAGAGGCAATGAGACTGGCTGGCACAGGATAGAGCACGGATTAGGGCTGTTGTACATACAGTCGCTATGAGTCGCAAACGACTCGAGGGCACATAACAACAATAATTAGTAACAGCAGGAATACAAACGCAGTAAGTGAGTGAGACTCAGAATTTTTAAATATATCATAAACCTGGGCAGAAAATTACCCTGTGAAGTAGTTTTTTAAAATTTATTAAAAGTATAAAAATTAAACTGGAAGCAGTTAGGGTGAGAAGCAAAGGTCACACATCTAACATTTCTTTAATGCAGTACTCAAAATGAACCATGACCACCACAAGATCATGTAATGTATCTAATTAATAGGTAATTAGTTAAAAAACTCATTCCCTCAAGTCAGAATGGATTCAGAGTTGACCCTGCAGCTTTTACAATTTTTGGAGGCAGTAAATGACACAGAAGGAGATTTCTCATCTTTCTCTTGCAGAGTAGCTAGCTGATGAATTAAAATTGATTGCTTTTGGGTTGGCAGTGCAACTCCATACCCGCTAAGCAACTAGAGCTCGTTCAGCTTATTAAGGTCTTTAAATAAAATTTAGATCTTAACATGTATTATAACTATAAAGATTTGGCTTAGTGAATTTAAAAGTGACCTGCTTCTAACTTACATAAATTAAATACACTGTCATAACTCACAATGTCAATATATACTCATTTAAATGACTGGGATCAGAAAGTACTTGAAAGACAATGGAAATTGTCCGTCTGATTACTAATTCACATAAGCAGTTAATATCCTACACTCACATGGACTAATTAATTTGCCCTTAAGAGTTAGCCTTTAATTTCTGAATAAATTGGATGTAGGAAATGTTAAAAAAATCTTTCTGTAATTTAACTTTTCCAAGTGAAAGTTTACTTAAAAATCCTTTAAAAACAGAACATTACTAAATTTTAAAATAGTAATTAAGAGCAAATTAGCAAGTAGTTATAGTCACAAAAATCACAACACTGTCAGCAAAAGCTCCAAGAACTCATTTATTGAATACAGATATTTTAAATATTTAAACCCAACAGAAGATTACATTTAAGGTATTTCATTTTATCTATTCTGTTCATTATTAGCTACTCTGCTAACAATGTACATTGTTTTCCTACAAAACACAAAGGAAGGCTGCAGACAGTGTTGTGGAGGAGTTAGAGTAGGAAACCACATAAGAGTTGGTCTCAAATCTAAGAAGTAGAAATATTAGTGAGATCAGACATATGAAGATAAAAAGAGAAACCTATAGAATAATAACACTAAAACTAGAAAAATGTTCAGAATAGTACAGTATAAATAATAACTGAAAATGAAAACAACAACAACAAAAAAACCAAAAAAAAAAAACCACCAAAACCCAAACTAACCTAACTAAGGACAACTCAAAGATGAAGAAAAAGCATCATTCAAAATGTTGTTAATATTGTTATGTGTCACTGGGTCACCTGCAACTCATTGCAACCCTATCTGTATCCTGACCTGAGTGAGTCTCACTGTCTCCAAAACACCTTCCCCATCACCACAGTTACTGTTGTATATATGAAAAATATTAAGGGAATACAACCAATAAAGTTGGTAAATTTAGCATCTACAAGAAGGAACAGGTAGGAGGTTAAAAAAAAAGAAAGATGGAAGTTTATTGAGTCTACTTTTGACACAAGCTGAGATGTTAGACGTAGAAGGAAGGTACGAAGTGAAATATAAATGCTGGAGTCTACTATATGTATGTAGAGAGATGGAAGTGGAATACATAGCTTACTTACAAGATGCAAGGAAAAAAGGAATGGAATATTGGACAAAATATTTCTGCTAATGATGGAGTGACAGAAGTGCTAGAGAAATCTACAAAGGAAAGGGGGTATCAGAAAGATAGGAAAGAAATAAATAAGAAAAAAAATATTCTAAGAAAGATGGAGTTACCCAGGTCAAATGCTTCTGCATTATGTATAGCAATGAAAACTCTTCATTGGCTTAATGCATCAAGTTCTACCGCCCAGCACTAGAACTCACAAATCAACTAAAGACATGTGCCGCCCAGTTTTCTCTAACTCATACTGACCCTGTAACAGAAACTTTGCCTTTCCTGATCAATTCTCATGATCTCACCCTTCTGGAGCCTGCTGTTAGAGTTACTGAGTAATTCCATCCTGGTGAGGGCTTTGGTCTCTTTCTGTCTTCCTTCCCCAACAAGATGTCTTTTTTAAAAGAATGGTCCCTCCTGATAACAAGACCAAAATATATGACATGAAATTTGACTGTCCTATAAGGAGTTCTGAGGACACAGTGGACAAGGAGCACTGCCTACTACCCAGAGGTGGTGACTCTCTGGTAGTTCGAGTCCACCAGCACTGACTCAGGAGACAGAAGGGCAGTCTGCTTCTGAGGAAAACACATTCAGAGGTCAGCTATAAAGTGGTTTCAAATCATTGGAAATCTTGTTTTTACTGCCTGTAAAGGACACCATGCTTGCAACTCCTCCAAGACAGATTGATTTGTTCTTTAGGTAGTCCACATGATAAAAATTACTACCAAAATTCAAAGGTAA